GATTTCAAGAGCTGGAAGGCAGCAGGGCTGGTATGCATAAAAATTCTTTTTTGAGAAGCTTTTGTGTATTGGGCAATTAAATCTGAACTATAATTCTGCAAAGCAGGTATTATTATCCCATGGAGAATCCAAAGCTCAAAGAGATTAACTTTTTTAGAATCATACGATTAATAAGTAACTGTGGGGCTCAAATATAGTTCTTCAGGGACTTGAGTTCTTTCTTTCACATACCCTGAAAAGCATCTGAAAAGAATTTAGGAAATTGTGAGAATAAAACTAGGTATTCATAGAATACTCACTGTGTGATAATTTTAAGAAAAGGGGCAAAGTACTAATGGGATAATACTGAATCCTAAATCAACAACACTAACCATGCCAAAAGGTAGAGTTACAATCACCTTACTAAACAGCTTAGGTTATAAAGGAATGTTGTCCTTTGGAGGGACACAGAATGATGTTGTTAATTCCTTGAGCATGAATGTGACTAATAAACTGGGTGGGGCACCTGTCATCTTGTCTACACAGCTGTCCGGGCAGGCTAATCTCTGGCTGGAGTCTCCCTGCCGTCCGCCCCGTTGCATGCTGCTGTCTAATCTCCTGGCTTCACAGTTAGGTTGACATTTTTGCTTAGTCTGACTCACTTGCTCCCAGCCTCAACTGTTCTGCGCCAGTGCAGACTTCTTTTACACTTGGCCTACTTAGAAACACGGAACGTTAGTGTTGGGAGGGAGCTGCCTAGGAGTCACCTAGCGTAACCGCTTTATGTTACAACTAGGTAAATGGCCCCAGATGAGACTGGTGTATCTTGTCTAAATCTGGGTGGGTTTTGGTATGAGGCATAGTGGGACTTCAGTAAGACAACGTGTAGGGCAGAGAAGGAAGCTGGGATTGAGCAGGCCTGGAGCTGACAATGCTAACTCAGCTGCAGGACTATTAGGGGTGGGGGCGGAACACAGGGAGGGGAAGAGTGGGTTGGGTTAGAGAAGCAGAGTTGGGAACCTAGCCAGGCAGTCTGAAGTTCAGGGTAGAACTTCTGTCCCAGCAGAGAAATGTGGCACTGAAGGTCACTTGTGAAAACTGGATCAACAGGAGGATGAGGGAGTGTAGAGAAGAGAAAAATCATAACTTGACTAGTAGCAGTATACCCCAACCAGATTGGGCGCCGGGACCCACACACTTCTTACCCTCTTTAGGAAGGCTTCCTGCAGCCGGAGGGAGGTAGTGACTCCAGCTCATAGCTGGGGAACCAGGGAAGACAGCAGTAAAGCACTCTGTCCATTGTGCTTCCCAAGTATCTCTGGGATGTCCCTTCCCCCATTTCTGTGCTGACCACCTCAAGCCCCGCTCATGACTTGCCCAATTATTGCAAGGGCATTTTAGTTCATTTATTACCCTCCGACTGTACTCTTCCTTTTTTATTTTTTCCCCTTTGATTTAAGACAGGGTCCCACTGTGTAGCCCAGGCTGGCTTCGAACTCATGGCAATCCTCCCCCAAGTGCTGGGATTTCAGGCGTGCACCACCATGCCCGGCTTGATGGTGCTCTCTCTGAAGCAGCCCCCTCACCATCACCAGAGCCTATGAGGGTGTCACCTGCTCTCTGTAAATGCTGGGTGGCCTGCCATTGGCTAGCAGCCTTTCTCAGCTGGGCTTCCATGTGAGACTCAAGCCCTACAGAAAATTATTTGAGTGACTATTTTCTCAATTCTCTCTAGGAAGGTACATAGTGGCATTCCAGGCGGGGTGGGGGGGGAATTTATTTGTACAATGCAGGTTTTAAATCATCAGGGCTTCATTTTTCTTGTGGAGCTGCAGTTGAGAGGTGCTCCAGAGAATGAAGCTGGAGAAATGCCTAGGAGTGGAACACCAGGTCCTACTTAACTTTAGCCTAACCATCTATGTAGCATCATCTCCTGTTTACCCTGTGATGCATACTGTGCTCTAGTTACAACAGTCTCTCGCCATTCCTTCATCCTTCTTGTCTTACTGTTCTTCCTTCAATGTGCACTGCTTCTTGGATTTGTAAAATCTTACTCATCCTTCAAGGCCTAGGTCATATGTTACCTCCTCTGAGAAATGGTACCTCCTCCAACCCCCCAAGGCAGTACAAGGTTTTCCTTCCACAGTGTGCCCATGCTATTTGTGTGTGTGCCACTGTGTAGCCCATTTTTCATAGTTGGAAGTTTACATATCCATAACGCTCACAAAATTTTGAGTTTTTCCACAATAAACGCAATGAACATCATCCTCCTCACTCCTTGACCTGAATAGGTTCTTTTGAACCAAAATAGCTAGAAATCCCCTAGGTAGTGGAAATGCTAACTCTGGAACACAGTTATCTTGTCCATTATTATTTGTGTTCTATACATGACTGAAACGAGATCAGACATTAAATATGCCCCTGCCAGATATGCAGCTGTGGTAATGTGCATTGGAAAGACTTCCTGAGAAAGTGAGGGAGGAAGGGTGGGTAGGCCTAATTGGGAAGGAAGAATAGACCCAGGACGGTGTTAAGTAAGGTGTAGTAGCAGTTGCCACCAGGAGATGTGGAGAGAACCAACTTTATAATTTCTGCAGGAAGCAGAAAGAGGAAAAGAAAGAGAAATAGTTGATGGTGGTGTTAACTGAAGAGCAACTATGTCAGGAACTGATGTCTGAGATGACTCATCAGCGCGATGATCTGTAACTGAGAATTTACATGTGCGTAGTTTAGAATACAGTCTCATAGGTGATCTCATCCAATTCTCAGAACAGTCCCGAGGTGGAAGTGGAGGGGGCGGTAGTGTGTGTGCGTGTGTGTGTGTGTACACATACACAGTGTTATACTGTCCGCTCTACAGAGGAGACTACCAAGCACTGAGAGAGAAATGACACACCAAACACCAGTGGTCCCTAAGTACTGCAGTAGGAACTCGAGGCAGGTCCACCTCTCTACTGGTCCAGGGCCACATTTAACTTTAAGAATGAGGAAGTAACTTTTCTGATCTAAAAGCCAAAGGTCTATATAAAATCAAATAGGTTTAAATGAAGAGGTTTTTCTGAGATAGACTCAGGGACTCTCCATAAACTCAGAACTTTTCTGGGTTGATTTATAATGAAGATAGAAAACCATTTGTCAGCCGACTTGCAGAGACTTGGCTGATACAGAGCAATTCTCTGCTTGAACCAGGCAAAAGGCTCACTTGACTAGAGAATCTGGGGCAGGAGAGGAGAGCAGAGAGCAGCTACTTCTTGCCTGCTGTGACTCCAGGGGGCACAGGGGGGCCAATGAACAGCCTGAAGCTCAGCTATTCGGTTAGCTCCAAACAGACAGAGACGAAGCCTCAGGTTGATGGAATGGGGGATTTAGAATGATGAGAAGCCGCCCATCTGGTGTGCTACCTCTCAGATCCACTCACAAACCTTGCAACCTACAAGACCTTAGAACATCAGGGCAGGGACCAGGCTCTGCAGATGGTTCATTCTGTTGTGTATAACAGAGTACGGCACTGCCTGTCTCTCCTTCGTATTGGGAGACACACAGAGGCACAGAGTTGGTTTTAATAACTTTTCACCTCATGACACAGTGAATACTGCTCACGATATATAAAGCAAAACTCAAGAAACAGCTTACAGTTACAAAAAGATTTCAAGTTCATTATAAACATTTTTGTACACCAAGACAGGATAGTCATCAATTTCTTATCTTTCTTGCACAGAAGTTATCTAGGAAATTTCAAAGAAATTCTTATGAATTCATTCAATGCCACTAATATTGTGTACACCCCTCTTTGCTAGATGCTACTATGTGATGGGCCCTGTTTTTGAAAGAGACTGTCTAGCTCAAGTGGCTCAATTTTTCAGTAAAAATTGAAGGCCCAGAGAAGGTAGTATCTTGCTGAATGTCACACAGCTGGTTCCTGGAGAGACCAGATAAAGAAAATAGTTCTACTTTTCAATTAAGATCCTGATCTAAAGCTGTTTGGGAGATGAAGGAAGGTGTTATCTTCCTTTCCTTCTGTTCCAACTCAGTAAATCACTTTGTTGGCTTTATGAGTATTAGAGAAAGTGAACATTTTCCTATACTGTGTTTTCTGGGCCCAAGCACGGTCTGTTAGTAGTAAACCAGAGATCTTCATTCTGTGGGACTGTCCATTCTACATCCTTTTTAAACTCCACTCTCCACAAGGGCTCTCAGTTGTATGACTGGAGCCCCGAGATCAGGGAAATCAGGTTGCTTGCATTTTGCTTTTTCACAGGAGGCAAAATATGTCAACGCACTGCCAAAAAATACCACAAAGTTCTGTTTCACTGTTATTTAAAAGAATTAGTTCTGTAAGAAATGCTGGTAATACTTGTAGTGGTCAGGGTTCTCCAGAAAAATAGGACCAATAGGGTGTGTGTGTGTGAGAGAGAGAGAGAGAGAGAGAGAGAGAGAGAGAGAGAGAGAAGGAGAGAGAGAGAGACAGATGACTCAAGCAGTTATTGACAAGTCCAAAGTCTGCAGGGTAGTTGTAATTCCTGACAGCCAGCTGTTGGAAGAATTCTCTCTGGCTTAGAAGAGCTCAGATTTTTGTTCTGTTCAGCTAACTGGATAAGGTCTTCCCCCATTATGCAGGACAATCTGCTGTACTCAGAGTCCACTGATAAAAAAAATGTCAAACACATCCAAAACACTCTCACAAAAACATGTAGAATAATGTTTGAGCATATATCTAGGCACTGCAGCAAGCTGACACATCAGGTTAGCCATCATAATACTATAAGCTGAAAACTTTACAACCCTAAGGATCATATCAGAATTCAGAGCAGCTGTATGGGTGCCAGTTGCTGGGAGAACCACTGGAGAAAAGTCCTTTGTGTTCCTGGACCTCACATAAGGGTAACTTGAAAAGGAAAGAGAAGAGATCCTGGAAAAGTTGGTAAAACCATCAGGTGGACAGGAATGTTAAACTGGAAAAGACATTTTGGCAAATATAGAGATTCTATGGTCCTAATGTTTTCCCTTGTTCTGTTTCATAGATGAAGAAGAGGAACATCCAGAAATCAAAGTCTGTATAGGGCAGAAATTGTCTTGCTCTTTCTTTACATATGCTTGGTGGGCCAGAGTTGAAACAGCCAGACCTTTAGGGCTAAGGTAATATTCCCTTCCTGATTCCTCTGTGGGGTGTGCTGAGACATTTGGCTTCACGTTTGGGGAGTTAAAACCTGTGATAGATTTGTAGACGCTCTGATCCTTGCCCAACTGAATACATCCCATAAATGGCTTTGGTCCTGGGGATTTGTGTGGACATTCAGTAAGAATCTTTTCAGCCAGTCTTTGTTCTAAATGCTGGCAGTAGAGCAGTTTGAAAAAGTGACAAAAATCCCTGCCTTCTTGCTATTTATATTCAACCAAGGAGACAGACAATAAAAAGAACATAAGTAAGTGAAATATATAATATGCTAATCACAAGTGATGAGAAAAATAAAGCAGGGAGGGTGACTAGGATATGCTCGGGAATGGATGTTGCAATTTCAGATAAATGGCTAAGAAAGGCCTCCTAACAAAGTGACATTTCTAAAATGTGTATAATAACTTTTTATTGGTACATTTTTAGATATCCATAATGATAACATTCACCATACGGAATTTGTCCCTGTACATAATATGCCTTGATTCTTCTTTTTTTCCCATCCCCCCTTCAACCCTTCACTTACAAAAGCTATGGGGTTTTTTCCTGTCTTTTCTCATTTTTTTTCTTTTCCCTTCCTTCCTTGTTTTCTTTCTTTTCTCCTCCCCTTTCCTTGTTCCCCTTCTCAACTGAACATTTTCTCCCATTTCCCCCTATCTATTACACATTTTGGTCCTTATTTACAGTAAAAGTGACATTTGAATAAAGGCCAAAAGGAAGTGAGAGGATGAACGGTGCAAACATCTGGGGAAAGCGCATTTTTGGGAGAATTGCAAAGACCATGGTTGTGAGTATAACCGTATTCTCCTAAAAGGTAGTTTGAAGTCTTGCTAATCCCTAGCACCTGTGAAATGCAACTTTATTTCTAAGCAGCATCTCTGCAGATGTAATCAAGTTAGGATGAGGTCACTAGAGTGGGCTCCAACCCACCATGATTGGTGTTTTTATAAGAGGAAACAGAGCAGAGACGCACAGGAGAATGCCATGTGATGATGGAGGAGAGATTGGAATGATACAGCCGCAAGCCCAGGAATGCCAAGAATTGACAGCCACCACCAGCAGCTAGGAAGAGGTAAGGAAGTATTTGTTCCTACAGGTTCCATATGGAGTGTGGCCCTAAATGCAGTGATCCTTTCAGCCCTCAGAACTGTGAGACAATAAATATCTGTTCTTTTAAGTCACTAATTTATGGTTCTTTACTATGGTAGCCCTTGGAAACAAATATAGCCATAAAACAGGAATTTACCTGGCATATTGAAGGGATATCAAAGCCAGTATAGCAAGAAAGGGATGATAGAAGAGGTTAGAAGCTGGGGATATAGCTCAGTGGCACAACTGCCTGCCTGGCAAGTGTGAGGAGCCAAATTCGATTCCCAGTACAAACAAACAAACAAAAAAAAGAGATTAGAGAAGTTACATAAAGATGGTAAGGTCATGTAGCACTTTATGGGTCAAAGAAGTGATATGATCTGACTTACCAGTAACTTTAACAGGTCTACATATAGTTATAACTGGGAGCTACATTCATGACTGAATAGAGACGTACTGAAGCACCAAGGTTATATTAAGTAGACAAAATAATCATAAGAAGTAGTGAGAAAGGTGCCAAATTGTATAAATACTAAAAATTATAATTAAATATTTTATTTGCCCTTTTGGAGGGGGTTAAGACATGGTCTCACCATGTAGTTCAGGCTGGCCTTGAACTCAGTATGTAGGCTAAGCTAGTCTTGAACTTGCTGAAATCCTCCTGCCTCAGCCTTCTGAGTTCTGGGATTATAGGTGTGTGCCTCCTTGCCCAACTCACTTGCTCTTTAGTTCTTTTCTAACCTGTAGTGATGATGCATAGCTGATTTATATATTTATTTATCTTTTTCTCTTTTTTTTTCAGACAGGATCTTGCTATGTAGTACAGGCTATTATTCAACTCAGTTATGTAGCCCAGGCTGGCCTCAAACTCATAGCAATCCTCTTGCCTTAGCCTTCTGTGTGCTGCAATTATAGGCGTGCACAGCCACACCGAACTTGTGCATAGCTAATTTAAAAGAGATGAGATTTTATTTTTTAGAAAAAGAGCATTAGACAGCAAAGCATAAACTTTCTGATCTCACTTAAACACTAGTGGCCAGCTAAGGTTTTTCAGACAATAATCACGGCATACTCATCGCATGGGATACAAAAAGATGAACCAGATCCCTTTTCTGGTAAGACTTGTTGACCAGTCATGGGGAGTGTGGTCAGCAGACAGGCTTCAACTGTCAGCACCTTTAGTGTCTGCCTCAGCTGCTGGGAACCACTTTGCCCTAAATTAGGTACTTCAGGGCCACCGTGCCCAATGGCTGAGCGAGGTGTAGGTAGAGATTCAGACTTGGGACCTCTGGAAGGTGACACGTGCTCCAGAGCCCTTGCTGGAGTGGAAGCTCTCCGAGCCCTCCGTGCAATTTGACATCTGTGCTCCGTTCTGCTTCTGCCTTTCCTTTCCTACCTGCTGGTCCCTCCTGTGGTGCCCCAGCTCGGTCAGGGTCTGCTTTCACGGAAGCAAACCTGCGACACCTGTTGGCAGTTACCTTAGTTGCGGGTGGATTCTGAGGAAATAGCACATTTTTGTACTGTGAACATGGAAATCACACTTGGGAAGATGTCAGTGAACGAGAATTGCAACCCTGTCTACTTGTAAAACAGAGAAACTCAAATGAGTTCATGGGATTTTTTTTAAGAATTAGGAGTGTCTCACAGAAACCAATTGTCAGAACTCATGAAAGACCGGAATGGAAATGGAAAATGAAATGAAAAAGTC